ACTGGGGTCAGAAAGGACAGACTGTCAGATGACCCAATTTATGACATCATCAGAAATATAAGTTATTTAAATTTTTATTTAGTTTCAGGGAATAAAAAGGAAAAGTACCATTTAAATTAACTCTATGATGAATTATGTAACATTACAAAAGGAGAAGATATTTCGATAAGAGCAATTCTTTTTCTCTTACAATATCTAAGAATATTGGCCGCTAATTTAGGGCCTGTGATTTCTAAGCTCTTTAGTAAAATATACTATTTTCGTAACTTGAAGATATTCTAAATTCAATTTCATTAAAGAATTAGATAGATCAATAACATTCATTATAAATTATTGTCTTGATTCTAATTTATAAATAAATATCAAGATAATCCAAGATTAATAAGAAAGATGAACTTATTTTATTAAATAAAGTGAATAAGATATTAGTAAATATTAGAAATAAACAGGAGCATTAAAAAATTGATGTGTATAAAAATACAAATTATTTTGATAATCTTAAGATAACTTCAAAAATCTTGAAAATTTTAAATAATTGATACAAAGGACTATTATTAAAAAAATTCTTCTCTTGTGAACCAAAATATATTATAAATTTCCCTTTATTATTTATTCTGTATAAGTTTCGTAAGTATCTTGTTGGAAATTCTATGAGCTTAAAATCTTTATATTAAAAATAATCTTAGTATAATATATCCACACATGTTTATTTAAATGTAACAATAATAATGAACAGAAAAAATAAAGAAAAGATTTATCAATTAATGATTCTCGGAAATATATCTATGCTATGTTAAGATATTAAGATTCTGATGAAGACGTAATAATGATATAACAATTATACTTTTTTTTTGTATTTTGGGCAACAATGTTCATTATGCATTGTCAAGTATTTTATTTATAAATAGTCAATCACAAATAATTCTTAAGATATATAATATAACAATTTTAATAAGTAGAATATTATCAAGTCCACCGTTAGTATTTCTTTATGATAACAAATATTATTGGGAATAAATATTGTATTTGAAAAAAAAATTTAATAGGAACTTCTATTATGAAATTATTTAAAATAAAGTATTTCAATTCATTAGTCTAAGACTATTTATAATTTTAAATACTTTATTTTCTACTAATATATTAAAGAATGCCCCAAATGAGTCTTTATCCCAAGAAAATAAGTACAATATTTTTTGTTTGATAATTATTTATTAAAATTCTATATATGTTCTATTCCTGTTACTTTGAAACTATAAATTAGATAATTTTAATGGTTTATATCCAAATGCTATTTAGAATCATAGGATTCTTATTTAGTTAAAATTATTAAAAAGAAAGTTGATAATATCTCTTGAACTAGTTTAGGAATTTTATTGATTATGAAGATTAGAGGTATAAATACTATTAAGTTAGTTTAATAATAATTCATCATAAATTACGACTTGCTGAGAATATATGTAATTTAATAAGTCAACATTCCAATCTCCAAACATTAACTTTACTGTAATTATTCTTATTTTCGCGAAAGTAACCTGCTGATATAAATGATTGTCGCTTTATATAATATCCTCTTTTCGTATATACATCTATCAATATTTGTAATCATTTCTAGTTAACAATCATATAAAAATTTAAAATATAAAGAGAAGGGGGTATAAAGTAATCATTGATATTGCTCTTTTAATTGCATTTAATTTTCCTTAATTAAAAATATTTTTGAAAACTTAAATATTATTTATTTATAAAACTTATTCTTATTTTTTCCTCTTATTCTTTAGTGATTTGAATATTCTTTAAATAGACACAATAAAATTAACATAATTTTTTTAATTATTATAATGTATTTATAGCATTTTCTTAATAATTAAAGAGATTATTAATATAATAAATTTAATTGAAATAGAGAATGTCAATAAGAGAAGTATTAAATAATAAATTAGAAAGTAATTTCAAAGAAATAGAGTAACATTTAGATGTATATATTTGTTATTGTAACACTTTTAGATTTCTTTTGATAAGATTAACAATTTTATAGATTAAATATTCATTTTTGATTTTCCAATTTCTAAGTTTAATAATCATAAACAAGAATCATAATTACCAAATGTTGATTAATTCAAATTAATTGGTTAATCTTAATTTTAATCATAGATGATTTAAGATTTAACACCATTAATGAATAGGTAAATTAAACATTAACTTTAAATTCAATTATAATCAAATTAAGATCATTAATAATAATTCATCAAATCATAATTATCATAAGTATAATAGCCATCAGAATAATAAATTAAATCTTAATCTAACATTAAATCATTTAACTATTAGATAATTAATCATAATTCTATTTAATAACAAGAATATTGTAATGTAGTTGCTTTTAATAAAGATGGCTCAATTTTAGCAGCTGGATGTGACAATTTAATAAATTTATATGAATTCAGACAAGGAATGTTGAAATACAACCAAACCTTAAATGATCATTAAGATACAGTGAGCACTTTATATTTTATGAGACAATCCAATTAGATTATATCTGGAGATTAAAATGGATATATTTTGATTTGGTAGAATAATAATAATTTTTAATGGAGTTGTTCATAAGCACTTAAAGAACATAAAAATAGTATAAATTGTTTAATTATGAATAATTATGAAGATATTATAATATCTAGTAGTGATGATTATACAATTAAATTTTGGATTTTAGAAAATGAATGGATATGTTCATAAACTATCACAGATCATAAACATTGCGTTTATTAATTAAATATGAATGAATAATAAAATAAAGTTATTTCATGTGGGTGGGATCAATTAATATTAATAATAGAATATTCAGAATATAATAAAAAGTGGATGGTTATATAAAAAATTAAAGTTGATTGTTAAGGATTACGACTATGTTTTATAAATGATAATCTTTTCACATTTCAACCAAAGAAAGGCAATTTGATGCATGTCTATGAAATGAATAGTGTAAATAAATAATTTACTAAAACCAAAAATATTAATGTAAATCAAGGTGATGATGGTTATGTACTGTTCCCATAATAATATATAAAATCAAAATAGTTACTTGTTAGTAAACATTATTAGAATGTCAATTTAATAAGATAGCTAGAAAATGATGAATTTAAAGTTGAATAATCAATTCAATTTGGTAGTTATGGATTATTTGGTTAAATGAGTAATGATGGAGAATATTTGATTACTTGGGATTATTCATCAAAAGAAATATAAATTAGGAAATAAACAGAAGAATGACTATTATTAAAATATAAATATTTATAATTATTTTTTAATATAATGAATCTTAAGCTTTTTTTTTTTAGATTTGGGCAAACTAGATTGAAAGAAAAATGTTGATTAATTCATTGTAAAAATATAATTTGATAATAGTCTTAAATAATTAAAGTATATTAATTAAAAATATCATGACAGACAGCTTAAAGAGATTCATCGATATATAGCCTATCATTAATAATATTAAATTCTTGATGAAATCAGACATTTAGTTTGTAATTAATTTATTGACCTGAAAAATAAAAATCAATAAATCTTGGAAGATTTTTATTTAAAATATTTTTCGTTGAATTAAAAGAATATAGTCAAGGTGTCTCTCAAAATTTAAACAAAATTTCTTTAAATAGAATTAAATTAAATTAGGAAGAACCAAAAACTAATATATATGGATATAAGACATAAGACTAATTTGAGTAATTTAAATATGCTTATAAATTAAATTGATATATGATAAAACTATATTAATTCTATCAAAATCATATATTATTTTTAATATGATAATCGCTATTTCAAGATTAAACCATTCCAATGAAAAAATGGATTCTAAAATTTATTTTTCCCCCACAGTCTATGATGTATTGAGTCACTCCAAAAATAATTATCAAACTTATATCAAAATTAATGAAATTTTTTAGGATATCATAAAATTAAACTTTTCCGAAATGAAAATTCATTAATTAATTTGAATTAAATTATACAATAACTTTTTAATTCAAAACTTTTATAGTATTTGAAGATTTATTATTATTATTTATCTTATTAAATCATCTACTTCAATCCTTGTAAGAGATTTTCAATTTACATAAGGAACTTGGAAAATAATAGAGATACCTGGTTATTTATAAAATAGGATTAATTTAAAGAATGATACAAATATAATCCTTCAAAACATAAAATTAAAATTTTAGAAATGCCCATTATTGATTGCTTATATAGTTTATCTAAATAATAAGTCAAGAAAAACAAAAAGTTTTTTTTTCTTTTTGACTTATATTGTTAGTAATCATTTCATGTATTTAAACCTTTTGCTTATATGGCTAATCAGCTATCCTTTTTAAAAATCCAATATAAATTTAGTTCATTCTGGATTTCTAAATCTTTAATATCTCTGTAAAATTATAGGATCTTTTATGCTGGAAATATTAATGGCTAAAATTGAATGATGTTTGGTTACATGAATAATAAAAATTTTTAAATAAGGATAAACATTAATGAGCAACCATTAAGCAAATAATCATTTTATATAGATCCGCTAAGATGAATTTAATAAAAAGTAAATACTTTATATTAATCAAAATAATATAGTATGTTATAACCTTGTGATATATATAAATAAATATTTAAATTAATATCCTAGAAATTGATTAATTTAATAAATTGAATTTAATCAATTAATATAATTTAATTTTATAATTAATTTCTATTTTCTAGTTATATAAACTTTTATAGTGGATTATTTAAATAAGTTTAATTGTCTTCTATCGCTTTTTCATATTATTTTCATAAGTCTTTAATATTTATTCTATCATATCGATTATAAGATTGGAGGCTAATTTTAATGAGAAAATTCCAATATGTCACCATTCAAAAAGTAAAGTGATATTATCGTCCAAATAGTAACTATTGACCAAAAAGAATTATATAAATTATATTGCCTAATTATTCATAATTTAAGTTTAATTTTTATTGTCTAATTATAGTAATTAAATTTATTCTTATTGATTATTATTTACTATAAACCATTACATTATATATTATTTTCATTAATTACCATTTAAATTTCTACTTATACTACGAAAAAGGCATGAATAGATTGTATTAAGATTAAAGGATTGTAGTAGTAGTATTATTACATTTTTTTCCCAGATGTGATTTAGTATACTTCTCTTCTAATGATACATTCCAGCCTATCGTCAATTAAAATTATTCTAAACTTCATTTAATTAGGATCCTCTATCTTAATAATAGATTAGGTGTTTAATAAGAAAAATATCTATTTCTATCAAAAAGATTCTTTGCTTTATATAATTTATAAAAATGCATAATTATTGGAATTTATTATGATTATTTAATGAAAAGTATTGAGACAAAGATATTAAAATAAATATCTTCATAATGGTTTTATTGATCAGCTAGTGTTTCATTACGAATTCATTGTAAAAGTTAAATGCAATAAGATATTACTCTAATAAAAGTAATTAAATTAGCTTTTCTTTCTTTAACTTATTGTGTAATTTGAAATAATTTCAACTTACAAATAAAATAAATATCATATTTCTCTGCTTCTAATAATCATCAATAGTTTTATTTTTTTTTTAATTTCCCTAAATAATAATTATTTTTGAAATTACTAAATTATTTTAATATTATACAATATATTCATATGAAAAATTTCCAGAAACCTCTATATTATAGGGGAGGGCAAAAGTACTCTACCGTTAATTTATTCAATAGTCTGAATCATTAATGTTATTAAGAGGTCTTCAATTTAAAAATTTAATTAACCACTTCTATAGAAATGTAATTCTAAATTATTCAATAGTATTTACGGTCTTGTATAGATGATTAATTCTCCTTATATTTTTACTTAATGATTAATTATTCGATTTTATCTTCTCTAATTAAATTGTCTAAAAAATATCAAAGTAGTGTAAACTTAGTTTCAACTTACTGTCAATCCGCACTGTTCTTTAACTAGCCTCAACAATATTATATTTTCATTTTGATTCGCTTTAAGGCTTCATTAACAATTCCCTATGACAATAATTATTAAACCATGAGTCTTACAGTAGTGTCAAGTGGAAAAGGCCCAATTTGAAGTAGAATATTATTAATAACCATGCTTTTAATTCCATCTTCTTCTACTAAATTTTCTTGTTTGATTATCTTAATTTTACATTCTTATATTTCGAACATTTATTTCATATAAGCAATAGGATTATTTAAAAAAAAAACATTTCCTTGTTGAAAATCTCTTTAAATTTTCATCGATTTAAGTAGAATATGTTATTCAATTAATTGTAAATTTGTTTAATATAATTGAACTTATAATCTCTTATGATTACAATATTCATGTAATACAATAATTACTACCTTTCATAAATGCACATTAATTATATTTTGGTGTAAAATATTTTTCATAAAGAAAGTTTCTGTATTTAGATTTCAGATTACTGACATATTATGCTTTATAGTATAGATAAGTGTATATGAATCTTTTGCTACAAACTCCAAATCCTATTAAATTAATTTATATTAAAAAGTAAAATTATCAAAATAGAACTGAATATTATATGAATTATTGGATTCTCAATTTTAGAAATGAAAGGAGTGTCTGTTGAATTTAATCGAATTAATAAAAAAATTAGAAAGAATTTCTATATTATCAGAATGAATAAACTTCATCATAATTAATTATGATGAAGATCAGAAATGTTTTTATACTAAATATCCCATCACTATCCTAAATAATTAGTATTTTCGTTAATTTAATGTAAATTTATCTTCTAGAAATATGAAATATAAATTCTAAGCAATCAGAATATAGGCCATCAAATTTAAGGGCTATTATAAACTTTTTAAATCCTCTCCTCCACTTATCCATTGGAGTTTTAAGAACTAAAACATATAGTTATTTTTATTCTCTCAATTTACTAGATCTTATCCTTAGTTTTATAATGATGTCTATAATAAATATAGCAATATTAGATTAAAATGTATGCTACTAAAGAATAGCTTTCTATTGATCTAATTTCTCATTTATGATTTTTCAGTATCTTCCCCCTTCTATTTCTAATAATACTCTCTTTAGATATACTTGATTATTCAAACGAATATAATCTGATTTTTCCAATCTGGCTTATTCTACTCAACTATAAAACCCTTTTTATATACACTATATATTATAAGACATACTTTAAAACTGATTATTTTTAATCTTCCATATCTTTGAATTTGATCTCCTTTTCCTATCAAAGAATCAATCTCATATAGAGTTATACAATAGTCCTCAAATCCTGTTTTATCTATTCTACAAAACGATGAGCTTTTACTTTTGAAAATGTTTATTTAAGGAAAATAAAATAATCAAAATTACAATTAGCTTCTTTATAAAAATTCTCACTGTCATGTCAACATGTATGGAGCTAATTCCAACTGTGGAGTATTTATTAGTTCAATAACGATTTTAAACTACATTGAGCACTAGTTCTTTATGCTTAAAATATTGGTGATTGAAAAATAATCAAAATAATAATATTGAACTAATTTTTTTTTAAATATAAGCAAAATAAAAAAAAATAATTTGATGCTTTTTTATTTTTATATTATTATTAGACCTCTCACAAATTTTATAATAAATGAAAAAATTAGGGTTAATTTAATGATTCCCCCCTTTTTTGTGTTATCTGAAATGAATTTTGATAGATGGTTATTTTAATTGTAATCTAAATTTTTTTTCTACTGATATCATATCTTGATTATTAAAATATATTAAATTTTTTTATTGTTAATCTATTTTCGTTTACAAAATATCGCTTTGGTAAATTATTGCCCTTATAATTTCAATATATTTAGAATATTATGAACGATTGAAGACAAATGTAGATAGCAAACCAAGTGTCTTTCCTGTATATGAGTTAAAACAACTATCTTCAGTAAAAGCATTAGAATCAACTAATTTTGATGATGCCTTTATATTTAATTCTAAATTTATATTAGTATTTTATTTTCATATATGAAAGCTCTACTAAATTTGTAATGAAGTGACCAAAATTGTTATTCAATTATGTCTAGTACATAATTATTCGGTAATTCTTTTCTAGCGTGCTTTCGCGATTGAAAAGACTTATAATCCATGAGGCTGCCTAAAAATTATTATTTTTTTAGAAAAATACTTATAAATCTTTTTTCTATATTTTTCATAAACACTGTTGAGTATACTTTTAATAGAATTTGCCTAA